CAGAAACCTGTGCAGTTTCCTATTGTTAGTGATGTTTAGATCATCTCTCAAAGTTGTTCCCAGGAACCTGTGCATTCTACTTCAACCCAACCCATTGCAATGGGGAAAATGCAGTCATTTGGATCAATTCCAACAGCACTCAGCAACACTCCTTTAAACCTTTTTTTTCATGTGACAACCATCAATTAAAATGATAGGCCTCCACCCCTTTAACCACCCTATTTTACATGCATCATAAGACCAATACGGTGTCTTCAGACACTTACTGCCCATTGGAAATGTTGTGTCTTTCACTAGCTCAGTCGACGGAAGAAATGTAGACCTAGGGTTTGTACTCCTTAATTCATAACCATAATCACATAGCCTACTAAACCGCTGTTATTCATCACCATGGTTCTCTTTCAGAGCTGCAGTTCTAATCCTCGCTACCTTCCATCTGTTAGAGGTCATGTTGAATTCCTTGGTGATCTTTCTTGAAAATGTACCAAGTGACATCTTCTGGTCATCCTTGAACTCATCAATGAAATATTGGCACAGAAAATTAGCTGTCATCTGCCTTAACCTCCTTTTCTTCTGACAAATGTGCTCTGCATAGTAAGCCTTGATTACAAATCCCCCTGTCATGTTGTCATTGCCAGCTTTTAGCCACCATGGGCGACCTCTTTCACAAACAGCCTCTACTCTAGTATGTCATTCTTTATCTTGTTGATCTGAACTCTGTTCTTAACAGAATATGCAGTAAGAGCTAGTCTTAGCTCCTTCACATCAGCAAAGACCATCCCAACTTTGAAGACAGGGGAAACCATGTCCACCTTTGAATTGAAAGCTATAAACTTGTACCTCAATTGCTCTGCTTCCTCAATGGACAGATTAAGATCTTCATCATCAAACAAGTAGTCATCTGGCTCCACATCATCCTCTTCTTTCTAAGCTTGTTCATCAACATCAAAGTCAATGTTGTCATCATAAAGATCATCATCCCCCTCATCTATGTCATAATCACTATCACTGAAATTTGATTCAGAAACAACTATATCTTCAATAACTGCTAGTCCATCTTCAGTAAGCAAATTATGCTTTGCACCTTCTATCAGCAAACTTTGAGGTTCTGTTCCTGTTGCAGCAATCTCTGAAATTGGTCTTCTTCATTGGCAGAAATGAGATTGTGGTGGGAAGATGCTCCACTGGCTGCTAGAACACTTGATGTGCGCATTGCAACGGAGCACTGAATTGAGGGCAATGTGCATATGGATTCAGCGCTGAAATTGTTGACGAAATCTGAATGGTCAACCATGGATCATTGAAGGGTTCCAGTACTCCAAATTACTTATTGGTCCACTAAAAATTCCACCATGCTCAAGTTCAAGTGTAAAGAAAGGAGTGTCCACCCTTTGTCCAGTTTCTGAATCGCACACTCCATCAAATAAGTGTACATTGTAAGCACTTACCTTAACATCAACATAAGTGAAAAAAATGATGTGTACTGTTAACTGTAAAATTCAGTTCACTGCAGTAAACTGAAAAATTCAGTTAACTACAGTGAACTTGAAACATTTTGATAACTACAATGAACTGAAAAAAATCAGATAACAACAGTTAGCTGAAAAAATTCAGATAACTATAGTCAAATGAAAAATATTCAGGAACTTGAGCTAACTGAACTTGGTGGCATTGAACGTAAGCAATTGGTGGCATCACAGACACCTGAGCATGAGCATGACCATTGCACACCTAAGCATGAGCATTGAACAACTGAATTTGGTGGCATTGAACACAAGCAACTATAGTCAGATTATTACCATTGCTTTCTTTGCACACAAATAGAGGACCAAACCACTACTCTAGTATAACAAACTACTAACATATGAACGAAAGAACCAACTACAGTGCCGGGCCAAAACCACGACTTTGTTGCCAAAAAACCTAACCTAATCTAATCGGCCAAAACCCTAGTTTTACTGCCGTGAGACACACCCAACACCATTCACCCCTCAAACCACCGTGAGACACACCGATGCGGTGGCGCTGATGTTGACGGCGACCACATTACACGGCTGAGGCGGTAATAGAGGCGAGGCGGAACAGAGAAGAGGCGGAACAGACAAGAGGCGGAGGCTCACCATAGTCCGGTGGGATGATGCCGAGCGGCCGGATGAGATGAGCGGAAGGAGGTGGCTCCATGCCGCCGGCGAACTCCGGTGACGATGAAGTTATGGCCGACGTCATCATCAAATCGCCACCGCGGTCACCCCCGACAGAACAGCCGACATCAAACGGATCTCAACAGGAGTCCACTGTATTTAATTCAGGTGTGGGGTAGTGCTGGTTCATTAAAAGGAACGGCAGGGGCCTTTATGCAAAAATGCCAGCACTGACCAGTCCGAGCTCTCAACTGCCACTTGTCGCGCTGTGATTGGCTTTGGACCAAAACATCACATAGGGGTGCAAGTTTTGGGAGGCCTCAGTTCACTTTTGCAACTTCTGAACTAAATCATCACATTCGCTGCAAGTTCATGGATGTGGTGTGCTATTACCTCGACATTTTTTGCCATGCTTCTTTTTACAAAAAGATCAACCATTGTTCATCCACCCACCTGCCGTCTCTGCGGCGCCGCACGTGAAGCAAAGCGAAACTGTCGCCACCGCAGCAGGCACGCAAAGAGAAAGAGAGAGAAAGAAGAGAAGGAGTCGATCGATCCACATCATTTCCTGTTCCCGCGACCAGATCTGTCGACTGACGGGCTGCCGACCGATTGGAGACACGGCCAGCAGCGCTGCAATTCCTTCCGTTCGTAACTGTAATCGATGGGGCAGACACAAACCTAAAAGGGACACAAAGAAACAAATCTCTCGCCTCTCGGTCAGGCAAGGCAAGTGACACACCTCCTCTGCTAATCACCGGTCAGTCGTTCCGTCAGCTAGCTAGCACCGCAGCATGGGGGTTAGTACTATTTTACTGTATTTCCGTTCACTTTTGTGCCACGCCACGCCGCTGTGATCTGGCTGCCTCTCCGGCCGGCGAGTGGCTCCATGTGTACGTGGCCATGTCGATCACGGTCTCCTTCCTTCCGATCACACGATCATCCACTCGGGTCGGGAACCGGAGGAGACGATGGTGTTTGCGAGCGCGCCATGATGCACGTCATTTGTACTACATGTGTGCTCGATCGACATGTCTAGCGTCATGCACAACACGACTTGTTCACATCGTATCGAGGGTGTCAATCTGGAGGATTACCTTACAGCTTCTATTCTTCTCTTTCTGCCTGATGACGAAATCCAGTGGATTACTTTTTTTTTGCGGGTGAAAACCCAGTGGATTACAACCTCTCTATTGTTCCTTTTTTTTGCAGGGAAACTTCTATTGTTCCTGAGCACACTCCAAAGCGACCCTCCTACGATGGACGTATATTAGCAAAACAGCGCGCAGGGTGACGTTCACACTTATAAAATTCAACGTGACTTTCTTGTCTACTTTTATTTATTTGAACGATATCCGTTTTGTGATCCATTTGAACTCGGGGCCGCTGTCATCCTTCGAGATGAGGCGTGTTTATGTGTGACGGATATATTTTGTGTTATACTAATGTACGTAGCTTTCTCGTTGTGCGGTGTATTAAAATCGGGCGGTGTTTGTGGGCAATGTTTACTCGCGGGGCATGCGACATCGTTGGCACATAAGCATGTCACAAAAAGGCACCTTCATCTGAACGAGCGGCTGGATCTCCTCGACCCGGTGGTTTTTCGGGGCATCCATTGGCTAGGGCTAATAAGGGTGCAACCACAAGCCATCCCTTTGGTGAAGGCACCGTGCGGAGTACATCCAAGACGACGGTGCCCTAGCCTTCAACGGACGGAGTAGCGAGACAGGCCGAGGTGAAGTCGATCGGAGGATGAAAAATTCTTCTTCTGCTCCAGCCACGCCCGGCAACACGTCGGTTCCTGTCAGCATTTTCCGCCCCCGCTTGCTTGGTTTATTTAAGGTTAAACATAGCACTCTCTTCGTCCCGAAATAAGAATCGGCGACACTTATTTTCGAAACAAAAGGAGCAGCAAATTGTGAAGCGGAGAGCACAAATATTGCATAACATTTTGCGTCATCGCGTGTGCAAGGACGCAAGCGAATTTGCGGGACTGTATTTTAACTCCACGACGCCTTCCTCGTCGGAGGCAACTTGATAGCGGCACCGTGAGGCGTGTGCGTGCGCTGGCGACGGGCCGACGGCACCTTTTTTCTACCGCTGGAGGCGATCGGATGAAGATCTGGGGACAATATTATAGCCATGTGGATGCCGATCCCGGGCGATCCTGCCGGATCCTGCCTGCCCGCCCCCAACCTCCAACCACCCAAGTTGCTTCCATTCTATGCCTCAAATAGCATAATGCAACGTGCCGCCACCCACCCACCCGCCTTGACGCAGCAACAACGCAGCGCCAGCACACGCCCGTACGTGCCACACCTTAAAATTCCATAAAATTTTGAACTGCATGAATTTTTTACTACGCCTTGTGTTTGTACTGAAGGTTAGTAGTACAGCTCAGGGGAGAGCTTTGGGTGACGAATTGAGCTGTGAGCCAAACATTTCGATCAGTTTTTCTCGTACATCACAAAGGTGCAGTAGCGCAAATGCAAAAACAGTGGTCAGAATAAATAAGCCATAAAATTAGTCTTAGAATCATCATCATCATCATCCGGGGGCGGGCGCCGCGGCGGCCGGCCGGCATTATCTACAACTTGGTTTCACTTTTCACCCCCACTTCCCTCCCCTGCTCCTCTTTTCTGAGCACACCAAAATTCAGCTAGTGTAAAAGTAGTATGTTTTTTCTAGTTCTTCACTTAGAACTAAGTAAATATTTTACCCCACCCCAGGAGCTACTATTAGCCATGACGACGATGATGATTCTCCCATATGAGCAAGTAAACCCCAAAAAAATTGCAGGAGCCAAGAGAAACATGAGGTTTCTTGGTTGGGGGTGTCTCTGTTGAGTTTCTTCAGGATTCAGGTCTCCACCGCCAGGCCGCTGCTGCCGCTGGAGAGGCTCGTGCTCGCCCCGTCCTGCTCCATCATCGCCGCCTTCCGCTTCCTGCTGCCGCCGCCGCAGTCACCCGTGATTCCGCCGGCCGTCACTGCCTCCTCCTCCGCCGCCGGCTCGGCTGGCGCTTGCTCTGCCTTCAGCTGCTGCTCTGGCTGTGGTTTCTGTTGCTGCTGCTGTGGTTGCGGCTGTGGCTTCTCATGTGTCTGCGGCTGGAGCTGGGGCTGCTTCCGCCGGACCAGGTGCGACTTGAGCTTCTTCATGTCAGCGAGCTTCACGGGCTTGAGGAAGAACTCCTCCGCGCCGTCCTCCAAGCACCTGAAATTTCAATCCCAACCACTCCATTCATTCATTCTTCAGCACAGAAACAACCCAAGATTTACCGCATCAACTCTACACTGAATAAAATGAAACATTGCTTCCAATGGTCGATAGCTACTCTTTCCTTTCCATCACATCACTCAAAGGCAAGGACACACTAGGCAGTACATGTCAGAGATCTTTGCCCGGACAAGCAAAGAGATACGGTCTTGAGCA